TTTTGCTTTATTTATTTATTTTATTAAGGTGTCACTCCAATGACTAGTTTTCAACTATAAATCTGAAACCGAACCTAATTTTGTGAAATTATAAATTACTTTGTAATTATTTTAACTTTATGGTTCAATAAATGGATTAAAAAAAAATTCTCTGGCTGTGTAAGCTGTATATAGTAATTGTGTGAGACTACAAAAAATAAACTAAAATTATAATCCATAAAATATATTTATACTAAGTAAGTAGCCCTGGTACAGTGGTTAGAGCTCTGGTTAAAAACACAGAGGTCTGAGGTTAGACGTCAGCTCTAGCCTAATAAGTGACATTTGTGAGGTGTGAACTTCCTAATTAAATGCTCTTCTGTGATAAGATAGAAAGGGCTTCAAGGAGCAACTTAATAATTACAACAACAACAAAAAAGTACTATTCAAAAAATGTAATGATTATAATTGAAGATTATAATTGCAAACAATATAAGATAAAAACATTTAAAATATATAATAATGAATTAAATGTCACCACAATAATCTAGAATATGTATTTGGTTTATTGTTATTATGATTACCTTGATGAGAATACACAACAACAATAAATATAACACAAAAAACTTAGGATAATTAGACCTTGATATTTATGATAATTGAAAAATAAAAATTGAAAATAACAAAGATAAAAAAAAGGTTTCATTTATAGCATTTTCAAAACAAAAATATTGAATTGTTATTTTATGTAGAACTAAAAAAAGGTAGAAAACAAAATATTATACCAGATTTTTTGTAATAATTAAAAATAGAAATAGATAATTGTAAAAAAATTAAGTTTTTGTACTATTTAAATTTTAAAACTCTATAGAATCGTTTTTTATTGCAAGAAAATTTATTTTAAAAAACAATCCATAACCAATCAATTATTCAATATATTTCCACTTATTAACTGTATATACATACAGAATAGTGAGGGAAATTTACAAACAGTTAAAAACTGATGATGCGTAAAGACGATATATGATGGTATAAAACAATTATTGTAAAATAATAATAATAACAAATATAATTATATAAATACTAATAGTAATGATAATAATTAATATAATAGGCAATCATAACAAAGTAGTCAATTAAATTAATAATTAGTAATTAAAAGTAATAGTATTATATATATATATATATATATATATATATATATATATATATATATATATATATATATATATATATATATATATATAAATTAATAATTAAAAGTAGTAATAATAGTGAATTAGAAGCAATAATAATATCAAAGGTATGGTAATAATAACAAGCAATAAAAATAATAATAAAAATAATATCAAAGGTATGGTAAGATAATATATACTATTAGTAAGAAGAAGACTTTGTTATTAGAAAGTTAAGAATATAAGATTTAACTTTTTTTTTTTAATTTTATTTTATTATTTTTTTATTATATAGAGTTTTAAATATGCATATTGAACTTTAAGTTTAATGCAATTGTTAATATATATATATATATATATATATATATATATATATATATATATATATATATATATATATATATATATATATATATATATATATATATATATATATAGACATATATATAGACATATATATAGACATATATATATATATATATATATATATATATATATATATATATATATATATATATATATATAGACATATATATAGACATATATATAGACATATATATATATATATATATATATATATATATATATATATATATATATATAGACATATATATATATATATATATATATATATATATATATATATATATATATATATATATATATATATATATATATATAGACATATATATATATATATATATATATATATATATATATATATATATATATATATATATATATATATATATGTATATATATATGTATATATATATATATATATATATATATATATATATAAATATATATATATATATATATATATGTATGTATGTATAAACAAACATATATATACACATACACATGACAATGGTGTAAACTTGATGCTTGTAAAGAAAATAGCACATACTTTATCTTTGAGTTCTCTTGCGGTATCTAAATGCCTTGTACAACATAAAACAGCTTCATCAAACTTTCCCAGTACTTTTAAAGTATTTCCTAAATTTCCACTGGCTTTTGCCTCACCAACTCTGTCACCTAAAGTCCTTGCTAATGTAAGATCATGTTTGTGATATTCAAGAGCTTTCTCATATTCTTGTAAATAAAAATATGCATTTCCTAATTGGCTGTAAACAGCACTTAATGTTTTTAGATCTTCAGTGCCAACTTTAATTGCTGCTTCAAAATACTCAACACCACTTCTACAGTCCCCGTTTTTACAATACTGTTCACCTTGCAGAGCTAATTCCATACATGAGGAATTTGATATATCAATTGTTCTGCGTATAGCTCCATTTGATGCCATATCTTTATCAAAAAGACATAATAAAACATATAAATTCTCT